GCCTTTTTAAAAATATTTATTGTTGAGTGTATTAGAGATGTCCCCCCACCATTGCCTCTCTCCACCTGGCTTCTGTCCTACTTGAGGCCTTCACCACTCTATTGTCGGGGTCTACAGATAATGCATACCCTATATAATAAAAGCCTAACATGCTAAGTGTCTGGTTGGCCGGTCGGCCATTCAACCAATCAAATGTAATATGCTCATGAATGCTAAGGCCGCTAAGTCTCTCACTATGCTTTCCACTGACCACCAGGGGGCAGACAGTTTACCAGTTGCTATGATGTTCACTGACCATCAGGGGGCAGACGCTCCAACCGGTAGGTTAACTTGCTGCTGGAGTCCAGCCGATTGGGACTGAGCAAGACCTGCCAGATACGCCCCTGGAGCCCTCCCGCGGTCCCTCTCTGGCTGGCCAACCTCCTTCGTCCCTCCCCCGCCCTGACCGTGCACCCTCTGGCAATCAGAGACCCCTCAGGGGATGTTGGAGAGCTGGTTTTGGCCTGATCCCCGCAGGCCAGGCCGAGGGACCCCACTGGTATATGGGCCTCTAGTATGCATATAAGATCTTTGGTTAATCTCTTCCCACCCCTTCATTCCCATTCCATCTGAGATTTGTTAGCCTGTTCCACGCTGCCGCCGCTGCCTCCTTTTTCCTCCTCCTCTGTTACTCAGCCACAATCCCCACTGGTTTTTAAAGCTTGGGGACTTCTCTTTCCGGCTCTGGAACCCTGGGCTGTAGGTTTGGTGTGGGGCTGAGACCCCTTGCTTCTCACCGGGCCCTCCACAGCCTAGATCAGGGGTCCTCAAACTACGGCCCGCGGGCCACATGCAAATACAAATATTGTATTTGTTCCCGTTTTGTTTTTTTACTTCAGAATAAGATATGTGCAGTGTGCATAGGAATTTGTCCATAGTTTTTTTTTAAACTATAGTCCGGCCCTCCAATGGTCTGAGGAACAGTGAACTGGCCCCCTGTTTAAAAAGTTTGAGGACCCCTGGCCTAGATATCCCATCTGATTAAAAAAATGTCATCGTGAGTGTCAGACCAGCCTGTATCTCCCCTCCACCCCTCCTACCAGTCTCGATGTATTTTTCTCTACTTCTCTAGTTGTAGGATTTCCATTCAGCCAGATTTCAGGCAGTTCTGAATGATATTTGTTCTATATTTTAGTTGTAATTTTGATGTAATTGTGGGAAGTGGCGAGTACTGACATTTACCCATGCCGCCATCTTGGTTCTCCTTAACATTGTCTTTAATCTGTTTTTTTTTACTTTTTTATTTTTTTTATTTTGCACACCTATTATGTACAAGTGTGTGCAAAGTGTTTTTTTTTAATTAAATCTTTATTGTTCAGATTATTACATTTGTTCCTCTTTTTCCCCCCATAATTCCCCTCCTCCCAGTTCCCACCCCACCCCTGCCCTCACTCCCCACCCACTGTCCTCATCCATAGGTGCACGATTTTATTCCAGTCTCTTCCCGCATCTCCCACACCCCTTTCCCCCCCTAGAATAGTCAGTCCATTCCCTTCTTTGTCTC